AAAACCTTTTCACATTTTGCAGCACTCATCCCAGGCTTCTCCCTTTCAACAAACAGACAAAAGTGAAAGAATGTACTTTTTTAATTCCAAGATTATTTTTTTAAAGATAGAAACAACATCAACCTTGAGCTAAAGACATAAACACAATTTACCCAGCTTCTCTGTTCAACCGCTTTAACCAAGAGCCAAAAATGGAAAAAGTATAATCCCTTTGGGAAGCAGTGGTGAAAATGTAAATTTAGTGTACTTGTGGTTCTACGTAGGGAAGCACTAAGTTTCCCTGACTGAAGTCCATGGAGCTTCCAATGAATTAAAAAACACAAAAAAGCTGCAAAAATATTTGCGAACTGTGAAGTTGCATTTTTGCTTTTTCTCTTGATAACTTTCCAAGTAATAAAACTAAATAAAATACATGTTTTTTGTACCAAATGTAACACATCCTGCATAGACACAGTTTTCATGCATGGGCGTATTCATTCTTTATGCAAACGTAGAAAGCATATCCATTTAAAGTGAAACTTGCACTTTCTTTCACCACAGCCGCTGCGGGCGCCTGACAGACGGATGTATGGGTCTGGCTTCTTCTATCTAGCGCTGCGTGTGGGGCTATTTCTCATTTCATTAGCACAGGTCTGTGGGTACATGGGCTGAAGACCTCTGCCATTCGTCTTTATCAGACACGTGTCTTAATCTACTGTCTTCCCACATTGCCGCCCCTCTACATTTGCCTTAAAAACCAAATAAATGTACACATCAGTTAATTAATCTGTTCAAAAAACATAAGGACAAAAAAAAGCATATGTTGTGAGAAAAAGACTAGAAATCCTTAAGGGAATGATTGTGTGAGGCAGTCGGTTAACCAAAGTCCTAACTACACTCACACACCACGGTAAAACATTTAAGTCACTATTGATTCCCCGTCTCCCATCGGTCTGTGTGCTAGTCCCAGTTGGCAGAAAACCAGGGAGGGGGTGTGTGGGAGGCTGAAGAAAAAATTTATAATAAAAGTTTCAAGAAGAAAGAAGATAAGGGGCATTTGCAACACAACAGTAAAGCAGAGACCAGCCTGGAGCGTCAGCCTCAGTGTGTGCTACGTGTGGTCGGGTTCAAATCTAGCTTCATCACTTTTAAATTGTGGACAGATTCAATTATTTGTGGAAACCACATGGAAATCTCTTTGCATTGTTCCAGCTGGAGCACCAAATTTGGCAGCAATCGCATTGGCGGCATTGGAGGGCCATTTATCTTGGAGGGAAAGAGCGCTTGTTGTACATGTATCTGTGTGTGCGTGTGTGTATGAGCTCATTTATCTTGCAGCGGAATGAGCAGGGGAACGAGGATGCCCCGGGAGGCGACCAGATCATTACCCATCTGGGATCAGAGGCAGAGATTTCACTAACGCTGTCATGTGCAGAGCCACACACACACACAATGTTTCAATGTAACCAAAGGAGACAAATCTCATTTTCATTTGGGAACGGAGGGCACACAAGCTCTACAAATGCATGCATTTATAGTGAGCGGAGAATCGCTGGGCAGGGAATTGTTCTGACTAGCCAGCTGACGGCCAGTTCCAACGCAATCATTCTCTATTAAGTGCCCACTTTTAAATGGATTTCAAAATTAAGACATTCTTTGCTCTACTACAAACTACATGTCCCATAACAAATACATTGTAACACATTTGTATGATTAATATACTTTGTTGTCGATTTCAGCCTGGTAAAATGTAGCTATTTTTGGATTAATTAATTTATTCTTATGAAGAGAGGCATCATTTAACAGTGGCCACGATTATGAAAAAAAAAAAGTCCCTTCATGAGCTAAACAATAAATCAGTTAATTGAAAGAATAATTTCCCAATTCATATATTATAATGAAGAAAAAAATTTATAGGAGCTCGAGTTTAGAGTGGGTTAGATCAGAGAATTGTCAGGTCCCGGCGGAGGAGGGGGACATGGAGTCCGAGTGGACCATGTTCTCTGCCTCAATCGCCGATGCGGCGGCTCGTAGCTGTGGTCGCAAGGTCTCTGGTGCTGGTCCCGGCGGCAACCCCCGAACTCGGTGGTGGACACCGGCAGAAAAGGGATGCTGTCAGGCTGAAGAAGGAGTCCTATCGAGCCATGATGGTTCGGGGGACTCCTGAGGCAGCTGTCCAGTACCGGCAGGCCAAGCGTGCCGCGGCCCGGGCTGTTGCAGAGGCAAAAACCCGGGACTGGGAGGAGTTCGGAGAGTCCATGGAGCATGACTATCGGTCGGCCTCGAAGAGATTCTGGCAAACCGTCCGGCGCCTCAGGAGGGGGAAGCAGTTCTTTGCCAACACCATGTACGGTGCGGGTGGAGAGCTGCTGACCTCGACTGGGGATATTGTCGGGCGGTGGAAGGAATACTTTGAGGTTCTCCTCAATCCCCCCGTCACGTCCTCTGTTACAGAGGCAGAGGCTGAGGATGTTGGGGCGGGTACATCCATCTCCCTGGCTGAGGTCACCAAGGTGGTTGGTAGCCTCCATGGTGGCAAGGCTCCGGGAGTGGATGAGATCCGCCCTGATTATCTAAAGTCTCTGGATGTTGTAGGACTGTCTTGGCTGACACGTCTCTGCAACATCGCGTGGTGATCGGGGGCAGTGCCAATGGAGTGGCAGACGGGGGTGGTGGTCCCTCTCTACAAGAAGGGGGACCGGAGGGTGTGTTCCAATTATCGTGGGATCACACTCCTCAGCCTCCCCGGTAAGGTCTACTCCAAGGTACTGGAGAGGAGGTTACGGCCGATGGTCGAATCTCGGATCCAGGAGGAGCAGTGTGGTTTTCGTCCCGGTCGCGGAACACTGGACCAGCTCTATACTCTCCATCGGATACTCGAGGGTTCATGGGAGTTCGCCCAACCTGTCCACATGTGCTTTGTGGATTTGGAGAAGGCGTTCGACTGTGTTCCCCGGGGTGTCCTTTGGGGGGGTTCTCCGGGAGTACGGGGTCGGAGGTCCTCTGCTGAGGGCCATCCGATCCCTGTATGACCGGAACCAGAGCTGTGTTCGCATTGCCGGCAGTAAGTCAGACCTGTTCCCGGTGAATGTTGGCCTCCGACAGGGCTGCCCTTTGTCACCGGTTCTGTTCACTGTATTTATGGACAGAATATCTAGGCGCAGCCAGGGGTCGGAGGGGGTCCGGTTCGGAGACCACAGGATTTCATCTCTGCTGTTTGCGGACGATGTTGTCCTGTTGGCTCCAACGAACCAGGACCTGCAGCATGCACTGGGACGGTTTGCAGCCGAGTGTGAAGCGGCTGGGATGAGAATCAGCACCTCCAAATCCGAGGCCATGGCGCTCGACCGGAAAAAGGTGCCTTGCCCTCTGCAGGTGGGTGGAGAGGTCCTTCCTCAAGTGGAGGAGTTCAAGTATCTCGGGGTCTTGTTCACGAGTGAGGGAAGAATGGAGCGTGAGATTGACAGGCGGATCGGTGCAGCGTGCGCAGTTATGCGGTCGCTGTATCGGACCGTTGTGGTGAAGAGGGAGCTGAGCCGAAAGGCAAAGCTCTCGATTTACCGGTCAATCTTCGTTCCCTCCCTCACCTATGGTCATGAGCTTTGGGTAATGACCGAAAGAACGAGATCGCGGATACAAGCGGTCGAAATGAGCTTCCTCCGCAGAGTGGCTGGGCGCTCCCTTAGAGATAGGGTGAGGAGCTCAGTCACACGGGAGGAGCTCGGAGTAGAACCGCTGCTTCTCCACGTCGAGAGGAACCAGTTGAGGTGGCTCGGGCATCTGTTCCGGATGCTTCCTGGACGCCTCCCTGGGGAGGTGTTCCGGGCACGCCCCACCGGGAGGAGGCCCCGCGGAAGACCCAGGACACGCTGGAGGGACTATGTCTCTCAGCTGGCCTGGGAACGCCTGGGGGTCCCCCCGGACGAGCTGGAGGAAGTGTGTGTGGATAGGGAAGTCTGGGCGTCTCTGCTTAGACTGCTGCCCCCGCGACCCGGCAACGGATAAAGCGGAAGAAAATGGATGGATAATGAAGAAAAAATTTTATAGGAGCTCGAGTTTAGAGTGTGTTAGATCAGAGAATTGTGTTCAGTGTAAATACAAGATTGCAATAAAAGAGGCAAAACACAGCACTTTAGGTGAACAAAGAAAAACACTTAGAGAAATAGATGAGAGACCCAGTCGGAGTCAGGCGGTGCTTGTGCACGGGGCTAAAGGACACCAGAATATGCCAGACATGCAGAAGCAACCAATCAACCAAATCCCCTTTTCTCTTCTCGTGTATCGTCCGCCTGGACTACTCTGTCGCAATGAGCTGACCTCTATTACCTATGCAGCAGGCTGGTCTCTCCCCGTTAGATTGTTTACTTGAGGTGGAATATGGATGAGGAGATGGAAATGAGAAATATCAGAGTGCAGGCCTTTGACACAGAGGGGTGACTAATGGATAGGACAGAGTTTAAGGTATATGTCAAAGAGGTGAAGGACATGAATTTGGCAAATTTTCGATGTCACAGATCAAATATAACACTGGATTGTTCTTTCTAACCTTCAATCTAAAATAATACATTGAGCAGTGATTTGTTTGGAACCTGGGGTTAAAATATTGATAAGATTAGATAATTTACATTATATCCTTTAGAGATGTCTCGTTCTGATCAGAAATCAGAAATTCTCTCTTGATCAGGACCAGTACCATGTACCAGTAAGTATAAACGACTGCCAAACTGGGACCAATGTTTTCTGCTTATTATTTTGTAAACATTTAAATATTGTCAAGTAAATGTTACATTTCTGTTTATCAATGTGCCACAATTTAATGTAAAAAACAAACAAAAAACTACATCCTGTTTTTTTCACTATATAAAAGTTTCAGATCGGGGCTTGGAAAAAGCCAATCCTCAAAATCAAATTACTGATCGGGACATCCCTCGTAATCATTCAACTTAAATACACATTTACAATGGGGAATACAAAGGGATAGGGCAAAAGAATAATAAACAAAAAAGCTTCATTTTTGGAACCTACTTTTCAATTTCGCTGTTTTTACAAGTGCGTGGGACGTTTGCGGCGGAAGAGGAAGAACATGGGGTACTGCTGTCTGTCTTGCTGCTTTCCCCGTTGCTCGTTGAAGGCATTTCTAAACAAACGACAAACAAAGTCTTAAGTGTTTAACTTAAACACGGAACTTTCATCGATCAAGTTGAAACCTTACCATCACTTGCCCATTTTGAGAATTCTGGTGTTATTCTGTTAGAAGGCACTCCACCACTAGAAAAAACAATAGATAAGTATCTTAAAATAACAATGCTTCACTCATTGAGCCAGTAAGGCCACGTACTTGAGTACAGCTCCCCGTAGCGCCTCTCGTTCTCGGGCCTCCCCCTGGTCCTCGCCAGCGCCTGAGCATGGGATGATGTCGGCTTCAGTGTACTGAGCCTTCCCGTACTCCAAAGTATCGTCACCGTCCACATCCAGGTCTGCGTCGCTGTCTGCACCACTCTCCTTGATGCTGCATGTCGCAAATCCCGTTCCTGTGGGCAGCAATTCATATGGTTTATTTTTCTTTAGTTCTTAAAAAGGCCATAAAGAAATGCAAGTTGTTGTTATTAAGTTTATAATCCACCAGGTTTTACCATCACTTCTCATATTATGCAACTATTGGGACTAACACCAAGTGCAAATTTCAACTTTTGCTCAACAATTGCTGACAAGCTTTGGGCTCAAGAAGAATTTAGACTTCTAATTAAGACCAACATTTTAGCCATCAATCACTGGGCTCTGTGCATGTGTTTGATTGGCAGTTCTATAAACCCAGTGATGAATGCTCAGACAAACCCGGTGGCGCAGTCTGACTGCTCCCTTCAGCTCCACTTAGCGGCTGAGAATCCCGTCACTTACAGACGCTGGTTCAGAGTTTGTTTGAAACCGCCTGTCCCTCTGTCACTTAGGCCGTGTCTCCCACTCCTTAAAGGTGCGTGTCTGTCGACTTGTCACTTAAACCACATCTTTCCAACAGCGCCACACCACACCTGGGTCTGTGTGTGTGTGAGACACTTAAAGGTGAATGAGTGCGTGTCGGCTCGTGTCAGAGCCTGACAGCCGTCTTATTTACACCTATCCCAATTTCTACAGCTCTGCACTGGACTAAAGAGAGTGGGACCATGGAGGAGTGGGGTGAGCACCGACAGCTATCTGCTTCTACCGCCTGTCCAAGTGACGTCCTTTTAGTGGGTTTACTAAAGTGTCCTACTCTCCTACTTGTTGGGATGAGTAGTTAAGACAATATATGTTATGTATAAGTATTGATCATTCGCGTATTGTGTTGATCCTGTCTTTAAACGTTTTACTTTGATATGGACTGGTCTACTACAATAAAGATTCCCACAATTTCAGCGCTCATCCGCAGAAATTTTCTGTGTGGGATTTTAAACGCCTGTCCCAACTTCTTTCACATAAAGAGTGAACATGTCATAAAAATCAGCACGTATAAAACACCCTTTTACAACAGGCCCATGGTTTTTAGTGATGGAATAAAAGAGACTTTTTAGCTTATATGTACAGACCATAATCATATGGAAACATACCCCAATCTGTAACAGGGAATATAGATTTGAATACAATTTCAAATAGAATGTGAAGGGAATTTTATCCCAATTATTATAATGTGAATATGAAATATAATGTGAATTACAGCACTTACATGTGAATATGTGCACCATGTTTGCTATGAGCTTGTGTGTGTTGCTGTGGTGCCTCTTCTGTCCCTCTAAACAGTCTTGGCAGGCCAATCTAATCTGGCCAGGGAAAGGTCAGAGCCACTCCTACTGCCTTTCACTCACATTATGCAACCCCCTACTCTTCCATACCCATTTACTGCTTTAATACAAAGTCTTTAAGATGGTTACAACATTACTAAAGCGTTTATCACGTTAGCAATCTATTTTACATTGGTTTGTTTACAATGATTTACCTTTAGTAGGTGATTTCCCTACATGTGTCATGATAATCTTTGGGATCTGAGGATCAATACAGACACCTACACACACTTCCATAATGACATTTTGGCTCACGATGTATCAAACACTTCCTGACTTGCGACAAGGCAATGACATGTGATTGTGCCTCATTTGCATGGCACAACCGTGTTCATGGCAAAGTTCTCCCAGAGGCAGCGCCGAAGAACGCTTAACGCACAAAAACATATGACAGCTCAGATCAACCAATCGAGGGACCTTGGTGACTTCATGTTACCATAGCAATTATCAGGCTTGCTCAAAAAGAAGAAGAAAAGGCCAGAGGTTGCAGAATTATCTATATGCCATTTACGGGTCAGATGGAGAGCATAAGATGAGGCCAGGGACGCGGACAAAAAGCAAGAGACGGCCATGTTTGAAGTCTGTTTACAAAGAGTGAGATTTCGCCTGGGCTCAAACCCCCCTGGGCTGCCTCCACCTGCAGTAATCCTCATCTTATACGGCTACGTCTCCAGGGACAGCTGGATATCAAGTCTTTGGATTCCCCCACTCTTCTGCCTATGGCTTTATACAATGCAACAATAAAGACTTAGTTATCCATTAATAACATTTCCTTCAGTTAGTTTCACTACAACTGAGTTAATAAAGTTCAGAAAGTCTTCCCCAAAAGAGAAATGTAAGCAAGTGAAAAATAGATATCTCCTATTAATATTCACAGGTTCAAGAAAAGCAGGAGTTGGACTGAAAATCTAGTTTCACTTGACAGAGCAGACACAGAGACAGACGGTCTGGTTGAGAGATAAAGCAGTCTGTGTCCGTGTTATTATGTTCTTTGAAGCGGGCTAAGCTGCAGCGAGACACAGGGAAGTGTCCTCAGACAGAGTTGAATCATAAACTGATCTTGTTCGATTTTGCAGCCAGGCCCCTCCCCTCTCCACTGGTCCTTAAGAGGCTTGTTCTCTGCCTTTCTTCTACACGGCCTCAAAGAGGGAGACGGATGGAGGCACTTCACAGAGGGATCTCTCCAGCTGAGGAGACCCCCCTGCAATGTCTATCTGTCTGTCTCGCTGCTCACTGCTCGTCCAAAGCCGCTAGGATTCAAGCGCTTCTGTGAGAAACACTCAGAGCTCTCAAGACCAAATCCACCCTCAGAGCGCAAAGCTGTGTGTGTGGTGCTGCAGCCCCCGAGTGTGTGTTTCATGTGGGTCTCTCCAGGCCACCTCCGTTATCTGAGTCACATCCCAAGGAGCCCCATTAGTGCACAGCAGAAGGGTCCTATGTCTCCTCGTTTAACAACGTTAAGAGCAGGGACAGGTGACAAAACCACCTCCACCCCAAGCACTGGGCCTGGTTTAGCTGAGATTTCAGCATTGATCTGCCTTGTCTCCGCTCAGTCTCGGGATGAGGGATAGAGGGGGATTCAGGTGTAGCGCAGCAGGGCTCTTTATAACAATGTGTTTCACTGAGCGGAACAATATATCGACAGAGGAAAGTGTGATCAAAAGACATCTGAAATTTAATGGAATCAAAGACTTCAGAATACCATTTCTCACAGAGAGATAGTTTTTTTTTTTATCTATCCTGAAAGTTCTTAACCTTCAGAAATCCTGAAAGTCAAGAACTGTTTTACTACAATATAGTTGTAAACTTGCAGACACTCGTACAAGTGGCTATTGTGGAAGATGCCTCTAACAGTGACTGAGTTGACAGGACTGTGCTCCAACACATGTGGCTATGCTCCCCAGTGACCAGCTCTCCATCCACTTCTATAATTGCATTTCTGGGCACACATACAAGCACAGAGTGGTGACCAGTGGGTCAATTTCCCAGCTAAATGCGTTTTCCTTCCTTGAGCAAAGAGAGTTGAGGAGGGCCGAGCTAAAGCCCTGGTCAGCCCTGGACACCTTCCCAAACCTCTACCAGGCCATTGGCACCATTACATTTAAAGTCCCAGGACATTTAAAGTCTTGACCCAGGCTAAAATGCACTCAAAGGACCCGGATCCTCTAAATTGTGACAACATTGAGATTATAATAGTAGAACCAAAAAACCTTTTTCAGGTTGTGAAATAGAATCTATTTTTCATTTGAGATCATCCTTCACACAGCAAAAATAAAAGGGTTAAAAAAGCACCCAAGAACTAGTACGAAAACCATGTAGCAGCCGTGCCCAGCCCAACAGGACTGTGTAAAGTGAGAGAAGTGTGCAGGATGTCAAAAGGAAGAGATCTAAGCAGATGATGTGGCAGTCGATGATAAAAGTGAAAGTGTACCTCTGAAACCCCCTTCTAGTAATGCTGTTGCTCGGATCCTTTTTTGTCCTGCCCACTCATACTCTTCGAATCCTCTGCCGTTTTCACCGTCCATGTCAATCGAGTCATCGTCCAGAGCACCCTCACGCTGAGAAAGAACCACAGTGAACATTTAATGCAAAGACAAACATTTAACATTGAATAAACATGTAAGAAGAAGTGGTTACTAAATTATGCTGTTTTAGGAGTCTCTAACACTTGACAGGAGGAGGAAAAGTGTAGTGACAATTAGTTGTAATGATCAGGTTCTTTAAAGTGCAGAAAACTAAAATAGCTTCTAAAACAGAACAGAAGCCATAAAGACAAATGAATCCACAATATAGGAGCCTTTTTTTCAAAGTCTGCGTGTTACAATTTTTCCCACACACTTCCAATATAATGTGGATCCATAGTTTAGGGCAGGAAAATCACTATTTTTCTATGAAGAAGAGGAAAAAAGGAGACAGTGATGAGTTGTTTGGTCTACAAGAGGAAGGACTGAAGACGCCCGAGTGGTTCAGGCCCAAAAAGTACTACCTGGATGAGGCATTGTTCCACATGTCTACTCATCTCCTCCTCGCTCCCAGTCAAAGGGGCACTGCACAGCGGACATACCTGGCCCCCATCTTCAGGCTTCCTCCTCTTCATTTTGCCTATACGAGCTGACAAAAACACACACCAGGTTAGATGTATATTCAAAACACTTTAAGAGGCTTCATATCCTTTTAAACGGCCCATAAGACACAACTTCAATCACACCCGTGTTTACATTGATCATTAGGGGTGGGGGTTGGCAAAAATGTGACAATTCAACAGTGACATTTATCCATCCATCCATTTTCTTCCCCTTAATCCATTTCTGGGTCGGGGGGGTGGTGGGGTGGCAGCCAGAGCAGCACCCAGTACACTTGACACCAGCCCCTCACTGATCCTCCTGCAGGTGGTGAGTCCACAGGAGCTGAGATCTTTCAGTGGGAGCTTCAGGCAAAGTGGGGTTAAGTGTCTTGCCCAAGGACACAGCAACAGCAACGAAGTAGGTCTTGTGGTGGGCTCGAACCCACAACCTTCAGGCCCATAGGCCAATGCTCTACCAACTGAGCCACTGTCGCATTCAATGGGGATATTGTGATTCTAAACAAATTGTTACGGCAACTATTGTGATTCGATTCTGTCCCTCATATTATTGAGGAAAGTCAGACAGCTCAACCCTAATGTTACATTTATTATTGTTTGCACATTAACTGAAGTGCAAAAACTTAGGAGGGTAGGTGAAAAACAATTATCCTTAAACATTCAAGACACAGGACCTTATTACAGAACAAGATAACTATTCTCTGAATAGACCACCTCTCACATGAACGATGAGTAAACTAGAAAGTGTAACAGTATTTAATATCTTAATACTTTGATCTACAGTATCATTTTAAATTGTGTGCACAAGACATTGTGATACTGAAAAAAATATTTGATGTTGGCCTACCAGCTGCTTGAATAATACACTTGAGTCAAAATACTAAACTTACAATCTCTGTTCGAATACTAAGAAATAGACTCTGCATCAATATCAATATCACACAGATTTCAATACCAAAATATTGTTATAGCATTTTGTTTTTATATAAAATGGTACTGCAAGGTTTTTTATCTTAGTTCTGAGATAAAAATAATTAAAACACTGCTAATAGATAATATAACATTTTGTCCTAATAATGTGATTCCTATTTTAGTTAGTTATAGTATTGACTAATATCTAAAGTATATATAAACATGTAATTGTATTTGACCATATTTTAGCATCTGTGGTGTTTAATCTACATCTCAAACATGTACCTTCAAAATGACCTCAGGGATTTTTTGATCAGTGAAACATTGTTCGAGCAGCGGAGCGGCAAAATGTGACCTTTTTTTGGCCGTTTTTGACAACATTAAATTTGCTCCCGTTTGCACATACAAAGTCTGATTAGCACAAAAATTTAATACATTGTTCAACTCTAGGGTCTAGGTCATTTGAAAGTCAAATGATTCCAATTGACTCATTAGCGCCCCCTACAGACTATTTCAAAGTTTTAGATGGGCATTTTCAAATTTAGTTTTTTCAAAATGTTTGAAATTTCGCACATAAATCTGTTTTGCCCTCTTGATTCAAAAAGTCAATAGGGTCCAAGGCTTATTTTTTACCCTGTTGCCGTGGCGACGAGAAACGCTCCCCATTCATTGCAAATGTACACCTCACACAAACATCAAACCAGCCTCGGCCGTTTCACCGATTCGCCTCAAAATCGCTCCACATCATCTCAACACATGTACCATCGAAATGACTTCAGGGAATTTTGATCCGTTAAACGTTGTTTGAGCAGCGGAGCGGCAAAATGTGAGGTTTTTTTTTGCTCTTTTTGACAACATTAATTTTGCTCCTGTTTGCACAAACAAAGTCTGATTTGCACAAAACTTTAATCCATTGTTCAATTCCAGGGTTTAGGTCAGGTTAAAGTGAAATATTGGAAATTGGCCCATTAGCGCCCCCTACAGACTGTGTCAAAGTTTACATGGGGAGCCAAACCAGCTCTACTTATCATATTCATTACAATTTGACTAACATTCTTCTATGGCTACGGAAACAAATCATCACACGGCGGTGCCACCTCCTTTTAGCGGTGCTGCGTGGTACGGTGTGGTGCGGCGTACTGCGGGGCGTTGTGGAGCGGCGCGTTGCGGCTTGGTGCGGGGCGGCGTGGTGCGGGACGGCATGGTGCAGGGCGGCGTGGTGCGGGACGGCATGGTGCAGGGCGGCTTGGTGCAGGGCGGCGTGGTGCGGGGAGTGCGCGCGGTGCAGGGAGTCGCGCGGTGCGGCGAGGGCCGTTTGACGCCGCTTGCGGCTTTAATTTATTTATTTCTTTCTTTCTTTCTTTTTTCTTCTGCACTTTGAGCCTTAATTTGACCCCCTGAACATGCATGAAAAGTTGTTAATTTTGGCCCAAAAATCAGACCTGGCGAAAAATTTGATATTTTGGTGTTTATTTTTATGGGACTCAAAAAATGACAGAACAGCGCCACCTACAACAGCCAAAATAATACCCCTATGGGACTTTTCGGAGGTCAAGTTTGTCGTAGAAAAATGAGATTTGGTACACATGTTCCTCAAGTCAAGACAAGAAAAAAATATTATTATGGCCCCGCCCTCTGACAAACAGGAAGCCCATAAATTTCACTGCAAAATGGAAAAAAATGAACAGCAAAAGTTTTCATACATGTCGGTTGGAAAGCGACTCCTCCTCGGCCGTTTCACCGATTCGCCTCAAATTCGCTCCACATCATCTCAACACATGTACCTTCAAAATGACCTCAGGGATTTTTGATCAGTGAAACATTGTTTGAGCAGCGGAGCGGCAAAATGTGACCTTTTTTTGGCCGTTTTTGACAACATTAAATTTGCTCCCGTTTGAACAAACAAAGTCTGATTTGTACAAAACTTTAATACATTGTTGAACTCTAGGGTCTAGGTCATTTGAAAGTGAATTAATTCAAATTGACACATTAGCGCCCCCTACAGACTATTTCAAAGTTTTAGATGGGCATTTTCAAATTTAGTTTTTTCAAAATGTTTGAAATTTTGCACATAAATCTGTTTTGCCCTCTTGATTCAAAAAGTCAATTGGGTCCAAGGCTTATTTTTTACCCTGTTGCCGTGGCGACGAGAAACGCTCCCCATTCTTTGCAAATGTACACCTCACACAAACATCAAACCAGCCACGGCCGTTTCACCGATTTGCCTCAAAATCGCTCACACATCATCTCAACACATGTACCATCAACAATGACTTCAGGGAATTTTGATCAGTGAAACATTTTTCGAGCAGCAGAGCGCCTCAAAAAGTGGCGTATTTTTTTTCAGTTTTTGTCACGATAGAAAAATTGCTTCCGTTTGCACAAACAAAGTCTGATTTGCCACAAAACTTGAATCCATGGTTTAACTCTTGCGGTCTAGGTCATTTGAAAGTTAAAATTTTGAAATTGGCTCTATAGCGCCACCTACAACAGCCAATTTAAAAATGCCTCTGGGGATGGTTCGAGGTCAAAATTGTCATAGAGAGCCATGTAATATGGAACACATGTTCCTCAAGTCAAGTCATGGATAAAAATGTTCTTATGGATAAGCCCTCTGACAAACAGGAAGCCCATAACTTTCATTGCAAATGGAAAAATGAAAAACCAATCATTTTCATAAACGTCGGTTGGTAAGCGACTCTTCCCTCGGGCCGTGTTCACCGATTGGCCTCAAAATTGTTCCAAATCATCTCAACACATTTACCTTCAAAATTACTTCAGGGAATTTTGATCAGTGAAACGTTGTTTGAGCAGCGGAGCAGCAAAATGTGAGGGTTTTTTTGCCGTTTTTGACAACATTAATTTTTTTTCCCGTTTAGACAAACAAAGTCTGATTTGCATTAAACTTGAATCCATTGTTCAACTCCAGGGTTTAGGTCAGGTGAAAGTGAAATATTTGAAATTGGCCCATTAGCGCCCCCTACAGACTGAATCAAAGTTTACATGGGGAGCCAAACCAGCTCTACTTATCATAGTCATTACAATTTGACTAACAATCTTCTATGGCTACGGGAACAAATCATCACACCTCCTTGGCGGCGCCACTGGGGCTTCCTTGCGGTGCTGCGTGGTACGCGTTGTGGGCGGCGTAGTGCGGGCGTTGTGGAGCGGCGCGTTGCGGCTTGGTGCGGGGCGGCGTGGTGCGGGGCGGCGTGATGCGGGACGGCGTGGTGCGGGGTGGCTTGGCAAGGGGTGGTGCGCGCGTTGCGGGGGGTGCGCGCGGTGCGGGGAGTTGCGCGGTGCGGCGAGGGCCGTTCGACGCCGCTTGCGGCTTTAATTTATTTATTTCTTTCTTTTTTCTTCTGCACTTTGAGCCTTAATTTGACCCCCTGAACATGCATAAAAAGTTGTTAATTTTGGCCCAAAAATCAGACCTGGTGAAAAATTTGATATTTTGGTGTTTATTTTTATGGGACTCAAAAAATGCCACAACAGCGCCACCTACAACAGCCAAAATAATACCCCTATGGGACTTTTCGGAGGTCAAGTTTGTCGTAGAAACATGAGATTTGGTACACATGTTCCTCAAGTCAAGACAAGAAAAAAATATTATTACGGCTCCGCCCTCTGACAAACAGGAAGCCCATAAATGTCACTGCAAAATGGAAAAATGAACAGCAAAAGTTTTCATACATGTCGGTTGGAAAGCGACTCCTCCTCGGCCGTTTCACCGATTCGCCTCAAAATCGCTCCACATCATCTCAACACATGTACCTTCAAAATGACCTCAGGGATTTTTGATCAGTGAAACATTGTTCGAGCAGCGGAGCGTCAAAATGTGACCTTTTTTTGGCCGTTTTTGACAACATTAAATTTGCTCCCGTTTGCACATACAAAGTCCGATTAGCACAAAACTTTAATACATTGTTCAGCTCTAGGGTTTAGGTCATTTGACAGTGAAATGATTCCAATTGACTCATTAGCGCCCCCTACAGACTATTTCAAAATTTTAGATGGGCATTTTCAATTTTAGTTTTTTCAAAATGTTTGAAATTTTGCACATAAATCTGTTTTGCCCTCTTGATTCAAAAAGTCAATAGGGT